TCTGTGCCTCAAACCCCTTCAATTTCCTTTCCAAAGTTTCATTATGGACCCCACATTCATCCAACTGTTTGTTGGAACTAAGGGCTCTTCCTATTATTCTGAGAGTTGCATGAAAAGTCATACAAGCTGAGAACAGCAAACCAATGGGAGAACTTAAAACTGAAATCCTAACATTACCATGCTAGCCCGCAGTACTGACATTGTTGCACTAACCTGGCAATGGGTCCCACTAAAGAAGAGTTGTATAATTCCAGCGGTGTGTCTCTAAAACAGGCATGGGCAAACGTTGGCCCTCCAGGTGTTTTGGGCTTCAGCTCCCACAATTTCTAACAGCCCCAGACCCCTTCCTTTTCCTCCTCATCTGCGTAAGCAGACAACAAAGGAAAGTGTGGTAGAGGCTCCTTCTTTTGAAGCTTTTAAACAGAGGCTGGATGGCCATCTGTCGGGGGTGCTTTGCATGCAATTTTCCTGCTTCTTGGCAGGGGGTTGGACTGGATGGCCATGAGGTCTCTTCCAACTCTATGACTATGAAAGGGCCTGAGACTGTTAGGAATTGTGGGAGTTGAAGTCCAAAATACCTGAAGGGCCAATGTTTGCCCATGCCTGCTCTAAAACCATTTCAGTAAATCTATTTTGGCAAAGATCTATCATTCAGCAGTTTTGATGTCATGGCCTGCTCTGGCTGAATATAGAAACTGGCTGAATATAGAACTGTCTGTATCTTGCTTTTGAATTACATGTAACAATTAACTATAAAAGAGTCTCAGATTGCATCTACACTGTAGAATTAATGTTGTTTGACACCACTTTAACTGTCATGTTTCAATGCTATGGAATGATGGATTAAAACCCTATCACCAGATAATTCTGCCATGTTTCAACCAACATTAATCTTTCCAAGACACTTTCAAATCACCATGTGATTGCAATGAATTAAAAACATAACCTGCAGCATGTCCTGTTGTTTATGTGATCCAATCATCTGTCAGAGGACCTATCCATACCCCACAATAATGGCTATGGTTCAAATGGAATCATACTGTTATAATTATGGAGCATGAAATGGCCCAGAGTCCTAAGTCAACTTTTGCCATTTTTCTTGAGGACTGCTCATTCTCATAGTATAACTACATGGTATAACTCAGACATGGGCAAACTTTTTAACTTGGGAACCGCATGGTGAGCCAGAGCAGGGTGGTTGGGCCAGGAGGAGGGGGTTCTCCCCAAGCTCCCTCCCTGCCCTTTCCTCCCCTTCCTCTTCTCCTTTGAAGGCAGAAAGTGAAGAAAAGAAAGGAAATGTTTGGATCCCAAAAGGGTTGGTGTTGGTCAGGATGAGATGCTGGACGGGAGAGAAAAAGCGTATCCATTAGGCCCCGTACAGCCTACTCCTAATATAGAATCCTAGAATCCTAGAGCTGGAAAAGACCCCCAAGGGCCATCCAGTCCAACCCCCTGCCATGCAAACAGACACCCTTCAGAAAAGCCTCCAGAGAAGGAGACTTCACCATACTTCAAGGCAGCCTATGAACTCTCTAACAGCTCTTACTCTCCAGAAGTTCTTCCTAAACGTTTCAGTCCAATCACTTTCCCTGTCATATGAAACTATTGCTCCCTTCTTGTGCCCTGGTCTCTAGAGCAGCTGAATGTCAGTTTTCTTTCTCCCTCTCTCCCTCCTCCTCCTCCTCAATGGGACACCCTTTGAAATTTGGAAACATGGTTTACATGTTCCCTCTCTACTTTATCTTCTCTCAGCTAAATATCCCCCAGGAAGAAAGGAGGAAGGAGGAAGAGAAGGAAGCAAAGGATGGAAGGAAGGGTGGAAGGGAATGGAGGGAGAGAGGAAATAGAGAGGAAAGGAAAGATCAAAGGGAAGGAGGGAAGGAGAAAGAGAGAGAGGAAAGATGGGAGGAAAGAGGGAAGGAAGGCTGAAAGGGTGGAAGGGAAAGAAGGATGGATGGAAGGAGAAAAAAGGAGGTAAGGAAGGGAGGGAAGGAAGGAAGAAGGAAAGAGGGGAGGAAGGAAGGATAGGATGGTGAGAGAGAGGAGGGCCTGAGAAAAGAGCCCAAGGGGCCGCATCTAGTCCCCAGGTCCGGGTTTGCCCATAGCTGATATAATTGGATTACAGATCCTACTGCGAATAAGTAAGGATAGGTCAACTTCATCTATAGTATAAAGTGTTGGAGGAAGTGAAAGGGGGCTCCTATGTCAGTGGGGTGTTAAACTACTCCAGATTTAGTTTGAACTTTAAAAGACTGTCCAAGATCTTTTAAAGTTAATTTTTTATATTATGTGGGTATTGGTGGTTGTGTTTAAGCATTGAATTTTTGCTTTTTTATGATTGGAATTCATCCTCTGAGTCCCTTCGGGGAGATAGGGTGGAATATAAATGGATGATGAGGTACAAATGTCACCCTTTAAATAGTTGAGCACCTTTAAAGTACAGGCTAAAAGTTGGATTGGATTCACTCCCTACTACATGGGAATCACTAGCTATCACTGGATACATTTCATTAAATGAGAACCTTATGTCCCCAATTCGCAAGAAACTGCTTTTGAGCAAGCTGCATTGAAACAATAGTGCCTGCAGTGCATTATGCAATATCCATCTAAGTTGCCATTTAAATGCACTCTGTACAAAAAAAAAAAAAAAATCCCAACTCCCAAACCCCAATTAAACTATGCCCAGAGCTGCCTTGAAAATCTAAGTATTGGCTCACTTAGGCCCTTCCACACATGTAATTCAGAATATCAAGGCAGATAATCCACAATATCTGCTTTGAAATGGGTTATCTGAGTCCACACTGCCTTATATTCCAGTTCAAAGCAGATAATGTGGGATTTTATTCAGATGTGTAGAAGGGACCTAAGGTGGATATCAGTTCTAACTCTCGGCTGTTATTTTCAGCCATCGCACAATGTAACAAATGAGAAGCTTAAATTAAAAACAGTTGTATTAACTGGAGTCCTTTCCAGATGTAAAGGCATTTTCCAGCTTGACTTTATGAGAAAGGAGTAAGAATGAAATCAACAACATTATATCAAAAGTTACTTTATTCCAGACTATTAAATGATAATATTGCACCAAAAGAACCAGATTTGAAGGTGTCCAACTGTAATATAATTCCTCTTTAACATGTTTTTTTTGTGTGTGATGTTATTTCTAATAGCCTGGTGTTGCCAAATTGTATGCATGTTCTATTTAGACGTACATTTCTATTTAATTTAATACAGCTGACTTCATTTTGAGTCTATATAGCGTATTATCTGAACATTTGAAACATGGCCATCTAGTTACACACTAATATTTCAGTCAATGGCATGAGAAGGCTGTCAATGTTCTTCTATTTATCTGATCCAATTATAATAGTACAGACGTATGTTGCAGAGTCTAGTAGTTTTATTGGAAAAGACACAGGCAGAATCATTTAAAAAGTTAACAGAAACCATCAAAATGCTAACATTTGGGCATAAGTGCACTTAAACACCAGAAGCATCATGTCTAGAATGATATAGCTTCATCTGTTTACATGACCAGAACAATTCAGGATGGAAAGATACCTTAAATTATTTTGTTTTTCCCTATTATGATCCCCTCTCTTTCACTAGACTACAAGAATGTTTCTGTTTAACATTATATAATTTCAACTTTTCAGAAGACCTCTCAACCTCTGAGGATGCCTGCCATAGATGCTGGCGAAATGTCAGGAGAGAATGCTTCTGGAACACAGCCATACAGCCCGGAAAACTCACAACAACCCAGTGATTCCAGCCATGAAAGCCTTTGACAATACATTATAGAATACTTTTTATAGAGTTCTGTATATTCCTAAAAAAATCACAAACTTTGAGAATATTGATGCCCAAAATATATATGAATCTAGTGCTAAAACCAGCAGTAGTGTAACAGAGGGAGCTGTAATATGAAGTCATAATCGTGTGTTTAATTCCTTTCAGCATCTAAGACAATGCCATTCCTGTTTCGTTCATTGCCACTTTTAGTAAAACGAGGATACAATCCTAGGCATACTGAGCTGGGAGAAAATCCCGCTGAACCCAATGGAACTTGTTTTTGCATAAAATTGAGCTCTATGGATTCTTAGGATTGTGTTCCGTGGCTTACCATCCTTCTCAGATGGTTCCAGTCTAATTCAAATGAACGGGGCTTACTTTTGAGGGAACGTGATGGGTAGGATTGAACTTTATGTCTCTCCAAAGCCATGGAAGTACTGTCTTCAAATAATGCAACAGCAATGGCGATTAACCTCTCTCTACTGCTTACAATTAAAATAACTACACAGAAGGTCAGAGGGGCAGGGAGGCTCTCTCCAGCATTGCCAAATAGATTGGCATCAGCAATGGCAAAAATATTTGCTGCTGGGTGAAATGAAAGTTGTGGGGATGCCATTTAGCCAAAGTGAAACAGTCCTAATTTTGTGTGTGTGTGTCAGAAGCGATAAGTTGCTTCTGGTGTGAGAGACCTGGCTGTCTGTAAGGATGCTGCCCAGGGGACACCTGCATGATTGATGTTTTACCATCCTGTGGGAGGCTTCTCTCATGTTCCCATGTGGGAAGCTGGAGCTGACAGGTGGGAGCCCTGTTCCCTGGATTCAAACCACCGACCTTTTGGTCAGCAGTCCTGCCGGTACAAGTGTTTAACCCATTGCGCCACCAGGGCTCCAGAGTCCTAATGACTTCCATTCGAAACTTGAAATCAATGAGAAGTGGCCCAATGCCTTTAATGACCACCAAGCCCTGCTTTGTCCTTGAGCTTCCTACCATCATATTGTGCATAGCCAGTTAGTGACCTTAACCAGGGGTGCCTCTATTTTGTAGTTCAAAAGAAAAGACCAAGAGAAGCCCTCCTTTCCAAAGCCTATATGCAGTTTGACCCCCACTTTAGCTGCCATGGCTCCATCCTAATCTTGGGGTTTGTTGTGGCCCCAAAGCTCTCTTGACAGGGAGCAGCTCCCCAAAAACGGCTGATCCCTGAATGGACCACGGCAGTGAATATGATGTCAAATTGCTATTGCGTGGATACAAGGTGCACCTACACACAGGGCACATCTACATTGTAGAACTGTTGCAGCTTGACACAATGCTATGGAGTCCTGGGAGTTGTAGTTTCACAAGGTCTTTAGCAAAAGGCCCCTTTGACACAGCCCTGTATCCCAGAATATCAAGGCAGAAAATACCCTAAATATCCTCCCCTAAATATCCAGATCCCAGGATTTTACAGGATGTGAAATTCATAATTCTTCTGCCTCTATTTGCAATAGTTATTATCCTATTTTTTTTCTTTCAGATAACTCGTTTATCTGAGTCCACACTCAGATAATGTGCCTTGATATTCTGGGACAAAGGGCGGTGTGGAAGGGCCCAAAGTGGGCTGGTGCCTCATCAAAACACAGACAACACCCAAGATGACATAGCAATGAGCAATGGCAGTTCAAGTGGTGTCAAACTGCATTCATTTTACAGTGTAGAACAGGTTTGGGTAAATATAGGCCCTCCAGGTGTTTTGGACTTCAACTCCCACCATTCCTAACAGCCTCAGGCCCTTTCCTGAGCTTAAGCGGCTGAGGGGGGAAAGAAAGGGGTCTGAGGCTGTTAGGAATGGTGGGAGTTGAAGTCCAAAACACCTGGAGGGCCTAAGTTGGCCCAGACCTGTTCTACACTGTAGAATATGCACCCTGACTTTTTTTTTTCAAACTCCAAACTTGCTGTCCTCCTCTCCATATATATCCCCTCTTCTTTCTTCAGTCTCCATCCAGGTCCGACCCCAGGAGCTCCGTCCTAGTCCAGAGAGTCCTCTATTTTGCCTGTCACTTGGCGAACTGGGCCAAACTGAGTCCGGCGGGCACCAAGTGGGGGAACTTGCAGCCCGCGCATGCGCAGAGCCCCGCCGCTGCCGCTCCTCCTGCTGCTGAAGGCTGCTGGGGGTCCTCGAGGGCCAAGGCCAGGTATTTCCCGCCCGCGCCTCCGCTGTTGCCGCCCGAGCCCGGGTGATGGTGGTGGTGATGGTGGTGGCTGATGTTCCCGGGGGAGGCGAGGAGCAGAGGGCCCGGGGCGAAGAGCGGGAGCCCCGCGGCGAGCAGGAGGCGAGGGCTGCCTCCTCCTCCTGCTCCCGGGGAGGCGCTCACCTCGGCCAGGATCCTCCTCAGCTCTTGCAAGGAGCTGCCCAGGAGCAGGATGTAGTTCCTGGCCAGGAGCAACGTGGCGATCTTGGAGAGCTTCCTGCCGGGCGAGCTCTGGCAGTGCGCCGCCGAGTAGGGCAGGATCACCTCCCGCAGGGCGTCCATGGCCAGGTTCAGGTCCTGCATCCGCTTCCGCTCGCGGCTGTTGATCTTGCGACGGAGCTGCTGCTGCTCGCTCGCCGGGAGCGGGTTCGAGTCCGGAGGCGCCACCTCGGCTTTGCCCACCACTAGCACGGGACCCAGCTGCTGCTGCTGCGGGGGATGTTGGTGTTGGTGTTGCTGCCGATAAGCCACCAGCTCGTACAAAGGCGGCTGCCTCAGCATGGCGCTGGCATTCAGAGCGGGCGAGGAAAAGCGGCCATCGCTCGAGGGGGGCAAAAGGGGATCCCCCCCGGAGATGGGAAGCAATGGGCGCCTGGCAAGGGCGCGCTTTAAACCCCAAGCCAAGGAACGGCAGGCGGCAGCCAATGGCAAGGCGCGCCGGGAACGAGCCGCGCGCCCATTGGCTGCTGCGGGAGTTGGGGCGGGGAAAGCGCTGTCCATAAGCATGCATTTTATTTATTTACTAGCGGTACCCGCCACGCGTTGCTGTGGCCAACCTCCCCTCCCTCTTTCTCTCCTTCTTTCTTTCTCTCCTTCCTTCCCTCCCTCTTTCCTTCCTTCCTTCCCTCTTTTTCTTTCCCTTCTTCTTTCTTCCTTCTCTACATGTTTCTTTTCTCGCTTCCTTTGCTCTTTGGTTCCATCCTTCCTTGTCTCTTTCCTTATCTCCTTCCTTCCCTCTTTCACTTTTTTATTTCATTCTCTCCCTCCTTCTCTCCTTCCTTCTTTACCCTTCTTTCTCTCCTTCTCTCCTTCCTTCCTTCTCTAACTTTTATATATATACACACACACACACACACACACACACACACAAATTTACATATACATACATACATACACACAATATTATATTATTAGCATAGCACAACATCTGTATTATATATTACTATATTGTACTATACCATTATATTGTAATAGTAACTAGCTGTCCCCCGCCACACATTGCTGTGGCCCAGTCTCTGTATGTGTTTTGTGAGTGTATATGTGTGTGTATATATTTGTATATATCTGTATATACACATATGGAAAAGAGCAACAACCCACAGAGTCAGACACAACTGGGCTTAATGTCAGGGGAAACCTTTACCTTTACCTATGTGTATATATGCGTGTTTGCATATATATGTAGTTTTGTTCATGTGTTGTAATGTATTTTGGTGTTCTTTTGCTTCTTAAGTCTCTTCTGCTCTGTTTTTCAGTGTTTTTATGAGTGATGGTCACTCGCTGGCCTAATAGGTGTATTGTGTCCAAATTTGGTGTCAATTCGTCCAGTGGTGTTTGAGTTATGTTAATCCCACAAATGAACATTATATTATTATTTATATAGATATTACATGTAATATAAAATATATAATTATAATATTATATTATTATTATTAGTAGTAGTATATTGTATTACATTATAATATTATAAATATATGTATATACAATATATTATATTATATTATTAGTATAGCACAGGAGTCAAGGTGGAACTGCCTTCCTGGCCTCCTCTCTTCACTCTGCAGTTCGTGCTGCGGGGAAGGATTGAGTTGTCCACTAGGCAGCCTTCCCTCATCAATATCTGGATACATTTTGGAGGATTGGGTTTTGGCATTGTTTTTTTTTGGGGGGGGGGGGTTGCAGCAAAACTTGTAGGCCTTGGCAAACTTGGGCCCTCCAGGTGTTCTGGGGCCTCATCGCACTAGAGAATGAAGCCACTTAAAATCCGGTTTCTGCCTCTGGCAGAATTCTGGGGTTTGTAGTTTTGGGAGAAGCCTTTAACAGCCTCACTAAACTACAAGCCCCAGAATTCTGCAGGAGGCAGCAACCAGGTTTTAAGTGGAGTTATTCTCTAGTGTGATGAAGTCATGATGAAGTAGACTAGGCCTGGGCAAACTTGGGCCCTCCAGGTGTCCTGCAGCCTCATCACACTAGGGAAAAACCCACTTTAAATCCAGTTGCTGCCTCCTGCGGAATTCTGGGGTTTGTAGGTTTTTTTGGGCGGGGGGAGCCTTTAACAGTCTCACTAAACTACAAACCCTAGAATTCTGCAGGAGACAGCAACCAGGTTTTAAGTGGATTTATTTTCTAGTGTGATGAAGTAATGATGAAGTAGACTAGGCATGGGAAAACTTGGGCCCTCCAGGTGTCCTGGGGCTTCATCACACTAGAGGGAAAAAATCCACTTTAAAACCGGTTGCTGCCCCCTGAATAATTCTGGGACGTGTAGTTTAGGGAGGAGCCTTTAACAGCCTCACTACACTACAACCCCCAGAATTCTGCAGGAGGCAGAACTCAGATTTTAAGTGGATTTATTCTATAGTGTGATTAAGTAGTGATGAAGTAGACCAGGCCTGGGCAAACTTGGGCCCTCCAGATGTCTTGGACTCCAACTCCGACCATTCCTAACAGCCTCAGGTCTCAGGGAGAAAAAGAAAGAGCCTGAGGCTGTAAGGAATTGTGGGAGTTGAAGTCCAAGACACCTGGAGGGCCCAAGTTTGTCCATGCCTGGTCTAATGGATGTAGTTTGTCACCACTTGAATGCTGTGGAATCATAGTATTTAGGGTTTTTTTTCTGCCAAAAAGTGCTAATGCCTCACTAAGCTACAATTATCTGGATTCCATTGCATTGAGCCATGGTAGTTAATGCGGCAAACTGCATTGATTCTACAGTGTTGATGAATCGATGGAAAAAACCTGACATCAATGTACAATAGAAATGTCTAGTTTAAACTGAACTTCTTTTCAACATGGTTTCCTTTTATTAATTTTATCAATGACAACAGGAAATGTCTTTTGTCCTTCGCCATAGCCATATTTAGATTTATGGAGAGATGCTTCAGTTGAATGGCAAATTCATTGTTACATTTTCATGCTGTGAACCAGGAGCCATGGTGGCGCAATGGGGTAAAGTAAACCCTTGTGCCAACTGAACTGCTGACCTGAAGGCCGGCAGGTCGAATCTAGAGATGAGGTGAGCTCCCGTCTGTCAGCTCCAGCTTCCTAGGCGGGGACATGAGAGAAGCCTCCCACAGGATGGTAACACACCCGGGTGTCCCCTGGGCAACATCTCTACAGACAGCCAATTCTCTCACACTAGAAGCAACTTGCCGTTTCTTAAGTCTCTTCTGACACAATAAAAAAGGCTGTGAACCTATAAACCCAAGATTTCATGTAAACCCCAAATAACTTTCTTTTGGGGGAAATAATATACAATGCATCTGGTTTCTTTCTGTATGTTTTCGTCCCACTTCTTGTTAACAAAACAGAAAGTACTAAGACTATGTGCAGAAATTAACAGGAACGCAAGCAAATCTATGGCCTGGACTTCCCTAGACTTCTGATCTCCAGATGTTTACACTTTCCAGCATCCCTGACAACTGTCTGTATCGTTCGTCCAGAATGCCTGGAGGACACTAAACTAGAGAAGTCTTAACAATATCGTCATCCTGTTTCCAGCAGTAGCCAGATGGCTCCTTTCTGGAAGCCAGATTTTGTGTTGTATGAACTTGAAAAAGCTAGTTGCAAAAAAAAAAAAAGATTCCTACTCCCAGAATTCCCCAGCAAATAAGGACCATGCTAGCTAGAGTTCCAGGTATTATAATCCAAAAAGATAACTTCTCTAAGCTCTGCTTGATTGTGACTCCTTAGCTGCATTCATAGGAGTCCAGTGTTCAGGGGCCAAAATGGTCAAAGATTTAGAAGCCAAAGCCTATGAGGAACCATTTAGGGCGTTACATATGTTTAGCTTGGAGAAAAGAAAACTGAGGGGGAATATGATAGCCATGTTTAAATACTTGAAAGGAGGTCACATTAAGAAAGGGAAAGTTTGATTTCTGCTGCTATAGAGCCTAGGGCCCCTTCAACACAGCTGAATAAAATCCCACATTATCTGCTTTGAACTGGAATGTATGACAGTGTGGATTCAGGTAACTCAGTCCAAAGCAGATATTGTGAGATTTTCGGCCTTAATATTCTGGTCATATGGCCCTGTGGAAGGGCTTTAGGACAAGAAACAGTGTGGATTCAAATGGCAGGAAAAAATATTCCACCTAAACATTAAGAAGAACAGTAAGAGCTGTCCGACAGTGGAATATGCTGCCTGGGAGTGTGGTGGAGTCTCCTTCTATGGATGTTTTAAACACCTGCGAGGAGGGTGGGACCGAGAGCAGGGCCTCCCCAGAAGATCTTAACTTCCTAGGTGGATCATAGAGGGAGATGCATTCTGGGCCGGAACCATTTAGGGCTTTATAGGCTGAAGCCAGCACTTTGAATTGTGGTTGGTAGCAGACTGGCAGCCAGTGGAGCTGGTGCAACAGGGGGGTTGTGTGCTCCCTGTCCATTCTAGTGAGTAATCTGGTTGCCGCCCACTGGAGTACTACAAGCTTCTGAACAGTTTTCAAAGGCAATATATATATATCCCCTATATTAAAAAAACATAAATGAAGGAAAGAGGGAGAAGAGGGGAGGAAATGTAGTTGCATCTTTGGAAACTTCCACATATAGCTCAGTTAATAAGGTAGATGTGTTCCTGGATATTGCTGATTAACAGAAAATGTAGTACAAGAAGCAGAGAAAACATGTAAAGAACGGGGTTTGGTTCCTACACCAGAAAAAAAAACGTTCAAAGGTTAGAGCTAACTTCTTATTCAAAACTAAATATATAAACATGTGGAATGAAACAAAGAAACTTTGCATAAGCAAACAACACATTTTGAACTTTCTAGAGATCATTCAAGACCTTCTTCCAAAATGTGCCAGCTCCCGTTTCTCTTGTGATTCCAATGTTGGTGGTCAAACTTAAAGTTCTATTTTTAAAGATTTGTTGGGGGAATCAGCTAGCAAGCAGACTTTTATAATCTCCCCCTTTCTCTCTGCTTTGCTGTTCATGCATACTCAGAAAGGGAATCTGGAGGCAGCTGTTGTTTGCCTTGCCTGTTGCAGACAGGAAGAAATGGCTACAATAGAATTGCCTAGAACAGAATCCTACTCTTTCCCAGCTTTCTGTATTTTATTGTATTGCATTGTTTAATTAAGATACTGTTGCAACGAAGCAGATCCTTCCTATTTAAATCCTGTTAAAAAAATGCAGCGAGAGAGAGAAAAAGGAAGAAAAGGTATGTTGCTGTTGACTAAAGAGCCTTTGTTAAAAGGAGCTTCACCATCAAAAGCTTTCTCAACTGATATCTCTACATTATTTGAATACACTGGTAGGCAATCTTATGGGATGCCCACTCGATTGCTTCATGGCAGCTCTTAAACCTATATGCTTTTAAAAAAGCTTATTATCAGGATATTTGCGGGAATTCCTTCACTTTTTGTTGAATTAGGGGTAGTTTCCTGGGGTATTAAATGACTTTTAG